ATTTTGTAAATACAAATAAATAGATAAGAAATAAAACTCAAATGAATAAAAAAGTTTTAAAAAGGGGGTAGGTGTAAATCAAGATAAACGTATTTTCTTCATAATTTTCTTACATTAGTTCCTTCTTGATGACTCAGTAATATAACTGGATATTAATAATTAAAATAGAGACCCAAAGAAAAATAACTTAATTGGAAATATATATATTCAGGGAAGGGGGCGTTAGGCACGATTAATTTGAAGGGAAACCAAAATTATATTAATGCAGCATAGATCTACAGTGGGTTGGAAATAAGAGAGAGAGAAAGAGTGATGTTCACTATGGATGTGTTGCTAACAGTTTTGAGGAGGAATGGGGTCAATGGTGGGGGGTTAAATTGAAATTGCCTACCCCCACCAGGTGGCGGTGGGCACCTAAGGTGCCCATGTGGTGAAATCGTCACCTTCAATCTAACCATTGAACTGTTGATTTTGTTGACTTTTTCTGGTTGATGTTGATATATGTAATAGTTGATGTTGATATATGTGATGTTAACTTTGAAAATTAAATCTTAATCATTGTAAATTTAAAGCAATATAATATAATTAAAAGATAATTTGTGTTGAAATGTGTCCGTAGCACGAATGAGGTCTACCCAACGTGCTGCTTTGCCAGTAGAGAAGTGCACAACGTATTGTTAATGTTGGGGGTATGCCATTTTGCCGGCTGCCCCACTTTTGTGTAGACCACTGTGGACAATACCTGCCAACTCGAATAAAACATTCAACTAAAATACTAGACATATGTTTATTATATATAGGTCTTTGATAAGTTACATATATTAAGATTTAGAGTGCCTGATAACAACATTATCAAAGTTTACTCCTCTTTACGAGGGGCGTTCAATACATAATGTCATCAGCTCCATGACATACAACATAGAAAGCATATGACATTAAACTTGACTTTTTCTAATTATTGAATCTTTAATGAATTTATAACAGTTTACGTGAACACTTTTCATCGCATAATTTCATTGTGGGAAGCTGGAAAACAAGGGCTACTCGAGACACTGCGTTAAAAATGTATGGTCAAGAATCGGTAAATTAGAGTAAAATTGAACGCGTCATTAAAGCTGCTGTAAACTTGTTAATTTCCCAAAAATATATTAACTGAAATATGTGAAATTTACTTGCAACTTTTGTCTGTTTCATACACACATGAACAGGTGGATTTCAATTAACAAAAATTATATAATGGGCATAAAAAATGGGTACCCTCCTTGTCAACAAGGACATACAACAACCAATGTATATTTGGGATAATTCAACAAATTATCACCGATTATGTTTTATTGACTTTAAGTTACATAGCAAATTTGATAGACATCATATCGGGGGTAGTTTACACTGTTTTAAAGAAACATTTGATCCTAAAAGAGTTTAATACTGAAAGGTCATCCTATATTTATAAATATGAGTGAAAACGAGAGCGTGTAGAAAATCTAAAAGATATTTTTAAAAAATCAAAAATTGTTCGTTTCCACGTTTTTCTGAAATTCAAACAGATCATGAAACTTGAATCCATTTTGCGTTAAACCCTCAAAACAAATTTAGAATAAAATGTACTTGACAAAACTGCAAAGGCTTAAGAAGAGCAAAAAATTGCAAGAACACAAAAGCAGTTCTATACGCTATTTTCTTTAATATTAGCGGTCTTATTGTTCGAATACATATATAGAGAGGCAGTTCAATATCTGGAGGAGTCTAGTAAGCAAAATATTTGCAAAAAAATTGAAAGGTTTATGAGAGGAAGGAAACAGAATGAGGAATTCACGACATTAAATTTCTTCCTGACAGCGTCCAAATCCACAGGCCATGAAGAGTAAAGGAGTTTTGGGGAAAACAAAAAGTTATGTTTTGTCACATCAACAATATTCGCCAGATCTTCTATTCTTTGACTTGTTTCATTTCCCAAACTTAGGAAAGCACCTTTCAGAAAGAGAAAAACGAGAACAGCAAATCATAGGATCTGACATTTTCCAGTATACGAAGGGTCATACTCAAAACGGTGTTCTAAAAACAATAAGAAATTGAATAAAAATATTACGGACATGTCTTTTTAATTAAAAGTGAACATTTTAGTTAAATCATTAAGACAAAATCATAGAAAAGCGATTTTTGTTGCTTTCCGAGCCCTGATGACATTATTATTTTATTGAACGCCCCTCGTACACTTGATATCAGTCATATGACACTGTGAACCTGAAAAAGTACTATAAACAGCAGTATTATTGAACCACATTTGCTATGTAAAACATGGGACAAAAACTATATCCCAGAATCTGTGGCTGGATATATAATATTCATTTTGTGAGGTCCTCTCGAACTAGGACTACATCAGAGAGTTTGACATTTACCACTTTACGCTTATGAGGTATTTCGTTCTCTGCTACATTTAAATGTTTACTTTTATTTTGTGTAAAGAAATTGCTTTTAAAGACATAATCAGTTTAATCAATTTTTGTTTGGATATTGAAATATTTGTGGGACATATGTTATCATAAGGAAATTAGTACCAAATATGTTCATTGATTATTAAATCTCTTTTATTTCTTCAGTCAGCCAAATCCGGATATGTGGTATATAAATCATAGTCGGCTAAACGGAAAGTGGTCAAAGCTCAGTCAAGAATTTTTTTTTAATTAGTTTAATAAAGATTTTTTCCCAGGGTTATCTGTCGTCATTGATTTTGTTCTGGTCATAAATTTTCAATATTTTCTAAGGATCAGACTTGATATTATACATTTAACGAGGCACGATCTACTTGATCTGAGGGTGCAAAACACAGTTTTATGTATGACGTTATCAGGACGTTACTTGGTGAGGGACAAGCAAAACTGACCCCTATAAAAAAATAAAGTGGAGGCTTGTTACATAGACTTCTGCATATCAATGGAAAGATAAAATTGTGAATTTTGTAAATATCCAACTATAATACATTCATCATTTACTACAAGGGGGTATTTGACACCTGAAATATGGGGGATATTGGGTTGTTTATGCATCCATTTTCAGTGCACCTATGCATTTTTAACACCCCTGCTCAACAAAAACAGAAAAAATCAGACAAAATAGATTGTATGCATTTCACAGAACAAGTCCTATGGTTTTCTTTTAGTGTGCTTTTAGGGTACATTTTTCCACCTCTTCAAAGAGCTATATTACCTGCTAATTGACTCATGTAATTCTGCACATGTGAAAACCGGATGTTTTGGGAGTTATCCCCCCTATTTAAAGTCTCAAAAATTTTTTTCTTCTAAAAATGAATGCACATTTTTTTCTTTAGATATTAAGATAAGACTCTACTTTATGCGAATAAAAATAAAAAAGATGCGGTTTTCATGTAGACTCCTATAAATAGCAGGAAAATCCCTACCCAGCATGTTTCTCTCTGGGAAAAACCCCCTGGATTTTATACGAAACTGTGTTTAGCTACCTGAGCATACGTTTTAACGCAGCGTCGACTCAGGCACGTTACAGTACCCTTGACTGCCGTCACAATTGAATACAATAACGTCACAATTAAAATGACGTCAAATTGCGCTAAAATGTTTCGATGATCTATATAGCTCGACTGTGCTTGTTGAAAGCTGGCTCATTCTGGCATTTCTATTATTTACATGTTTTTAGAAAACCTTTTTTTTTTATTAATAAACATATTTGGAACATAATTTATTTTGGAATATCAATTTCTTGGTAGAGATGTATTAATTTTATCTTGGTTTATTTCAGTTTGTATGTTAGAAAAAAAACAATACAACCAAAAGGTAACGATTTTAGTCTTTCTCCTCGAACATGTTGAAGTGTTTATACTCACTATTTTTTTTGAGTGTGGAAAGAAAATTATTTCAAAATGTAAGAATAATTTAAGTTATAGAAACAAATACAGTATCGCATCGTTTGTTGATGTTATGTAAACCTATTGCGATAAAATATCTACTTGGATAAAATAAGTCCTATTTTTGTGTTTTGATATGCCCCCTTTTCTGTGCAATAAAGGCGTAAAATTACGTTTTATATGAATTTTTTTTCAAACGGATGTCCCATACTTCTTAATCATCAAAATTGTAAACATTCAGACAACATAAGATTGTCCATCAATAAAAAAGAATATAGGCAATGTATCCGAATTTTTGCAATATACCGCGATACAATAAAACCTGCGATATAATGAAAATCGAGTATATAGAATAATAACAATTTTTTTTAACTTTATAAAAACATTTTGGTAACTGGCTAAGCAAAGTAGGAAGTATGGATGGTACACATTTTGTTGGAATTCATTTGTTCAAGATTAAAATGGAAATATAAATTCTACGTTATCAAACATTCATTTTGGATAAATTTGATTTCAATGTCACCTGTATGATATTTCATGTCAACAGATTATTTTTTTCTTACATATTTCCTACAACTTGTTACGACATTGGTTTATGTAAGTTTTGATAACATATTGATTACAGATTACTCTATATAGATAGCTCGAGGATGTTTAGACAGCTCGACAGGGAAAGGTGACTGTTCCAAGGGTCCTTAAATTTATCCTTTCCTTGCTTTGTATCATCTAAAGGATTTATGAGATCATGAATCTCTTTTTATCTTTTACCCTCAAAATCATGAACACACAAGGATTTTACCCCTCCCACCCCCAACTCCCTGGGTAAAGTACGACAGTGTTTTTCTCTTGTCAGGAAGATGAAGAATTTAACTGTCCCACATGTAAAAATGACTTGTGTCTAAAGTAAGAAAAGGCACCGAGGATTTTTACTCCTCAAAGGCTATAACTATACCCCAGAAAATAATTACAAAATATTATGACAAAAGTTTAAATAATAACAGAAAGAAATCAATATCTAATTAAGTCATAATCAATTTAGAAGCTTTTTGTTTTAACTATTTTGATTTTCTCCAATTTTTTTCAGGTGATTGTGATGATGGAGACTTAGATCTTATAAATTATGGGTTCAGGATCAAGTGCCCAGTGTAAGACACGGCGGTGTTCTCAGTGTCAGGGGGACACAGAATACTACTGTAACACGTGTAAACATGAATTGTGTCTACAATGTAAAGAGAGACATGTTATTGATCTAGAGACCATATACCACGATGTTGTGATTTACCGTGAGAAGTATGACATCCCAAATCTCGAGACTTGCGTAAGACAGACAGACAAAATATTAGTATATGAAAGGTACTGTTATACGGGTGAATTTCCTTTCTGTGCACAGTGTAAAAAACATGAACAAAACAAAATACTGAACATTAGAACAGAATATAAAAGAAACCGTGAACAAAACAGATACACCATTCACAGGATCAGAAGTGAGACTCTGTATAATAACTGTGTCTTACTGGCATACATTAAAGATAATTTAAGATCTGGTCAAACCAATATCTTTAACCTTAAACATGTGAAACTAAAGATGTCAACAAAAGCCCAGACATTAAAAGACCTGATTGATACTGTTATGTGTGATGTTGACGTTAAAAGGCTCGTGGACACATGTAATCATAGATTAAAACAACGGAAGAGAAATATTGCCAGCATAGAAAAATATGAATACAAATATCTACAATCAGCAAACAGAGCGGTAAAATTACTCTTGTTCCTTAAAAACACCTTCTTCCCAAAGATAAATGAATTTCTATATATTACACACAACGCCTCGCCTAACCTGACTATGAAAATCATCAAGGAGGATGTGGTTGACTTTCTGAGTGAAACCAATGTCATAGAGAGAGGACAAAGACAAATAAGAGATGAAGATCAACTGGAACTGATGTTTTTACCTTGGTTACACAGATCAGTTAAACTGAACACTTCTGGTCATATTACACATATTTCTTGTCTCGATGCAGACCGGATCTGGGTCAGTGAAAGGCACATTAATTTTACTGTGTTTATTTTGATAAACACAAAAGGGGACGATTTGCATCACCTGGAAAGTAAAGGACTAACAGATAATTATAAATGGTATAGTATATACGGAGCACACACAGTAGACAATGACGGTGAACTAATATATATAGACCGTAATAATGAAATTCACAAATTTTCTACAGATGATAGAACAAAGTCTACACTGATAAAAGGAATTGACCTCTGGGAGCCACGATGTATCTATTCCTCCCGACATAATGGAGACCTACTGGTGATGTTATATTATAAAATGACAGGCAAGGTTAACCGTTACGATAACACAGGACAACACATACAGACAATACAACATGACAACAAGGGTCAGCAACTGTACAGGAACCCTATATACATTACAGAGAACCGCAATGGAGATGTTGTTGTGTCTGACTTTGGTCGTGTAGTGGTGACAGATGGTGGAGGGAGACATCTCTTCTCCTACACAGGTCCTACATTTCAATCACGACTATATCCACATGGAATCTGTACTGATGCGCTGTCACACATCCTGGTGTGTGATTTGTACTCCAACACAGTACATATGATTGACAAGTACGGTCACTTTCTGTCACACATACTGACACAAGCGGAAGGAATAAACACACCACACAGCCTCAGTTATGACAACAAAACTCATCTCCTCTGGGTTAGTTCATGGACAGACAAAACAGTGTGTGTATATAGCTACATAAAAAGAAAGAGACATAAGATAGGTGATTGCTATTTAATATTTATTAATATGATATATGTATTCATCCTTAATTTCACATTAGGGTATCATCAATCTCGCCAAAAATTGTTCCTAGAAAATCTAAAAAAAAAAAAAAAAAAAAAAAAAAACATGGCTATTGTTTTGATTGGTAATATCTTCCATAATAATTCAAAATTCAAAAAAGAAGGAATGATTTGATTAAAGTTTGTATCTGAGTAAAAACACTTTAAATTGACATGTTCAAATTATTAATACATGCTATTGATCAAACTTCATCAATATGCATAAACATTTTTATTCTATGCATTTTATTTTATTACAGGTGTTGAAGAAGCTGACTAGTCCTTTTGAATCCAATCGAGGGAAAAGGGAATTTATAAAACACTTTGCAGAGCTCATCTTTGTCGCAATACACCCATGTAAACTAAAAATGCAAACATTAAAAACACATTACTATATGTAGTTCTGATCTTTCTCCTAAATTAAATTTCATACCCTGACTTGATCAGTTTTATAGCAATAGTTAAAAAAAGATAAGATTAACAAAGGAAATGAAAGGGTCATTTTGTCTTTTGTCCCTACTTTCAAGTGTCGCTCCCCGTGGGGATCCGGGACAGAATAGGTCCTCAGTACCCCCTTGTCGTAAAAGGCGACTAAATGGGGAGGTTCTTCGGATGAGAACGTATAAACCGAGGCCCCGTGTCACAGCAGGTGTGGCACGATAAAGATCCCTCCCTGCTCAAAGGCCGTAAGTGCCGAGCAAAGGCCTAAATTTGCAGCCCTTTACCGGCAATGATGACGTCTCCATATCAGTGAAATATTCTGGAGAGGGACGTTAAACAGTATACAATCAATCAACCAAGTGTCGCATTCAGTGATACAGGTACAATTCTGAATTTATTAGCAAACACTAAAATCACTGGAAAGTCAGTCATGAATTTTGTGGATTTCTGAATTTTCTTAATTGTCCCCCGCTTGAAAAGTGAGTGATATAAATTTGGGTCTGTCCGTGCGTCCGTCCGTCATTCTGTCTGTCTGTAACGTTTTTGTTTCCACACGATATCTCGAGAACACTTTGAGGTTTTGCAATGAAATTTTGCATAGCTACTCCCTATGGACTAAAGAACCCTATCGGTTTTGAGATCAAAAGGTCAAAGTTCAAGGTCGTAAAATTATACATTCTCTCTTTGTGTTACCCTATCCTTTTCGGGCGATATCTCAAGAGGATTTTGAGTTTTCGCAATTTAATTTTATACAAAACTCCCTAGGACCTCTGTAACCTCTCTCTCAGAGTGTCCAACTCCGTTCGTTTTATTAGTATTTTCTGTATTACATGTCGCTATTTTTAGGACAGAGGCATGAGGAGAGTTATTAAGTATAAAACAGGTTCTCGGCGGACTTTATATTCTTATTACAGCTGTTAGAACTGTTTAATAAAGGTTAAATTAGACACCATGCATTGTGTAAAAATTTTGACGATATGGAACGTGAATATATACATGTATGTGACTTCATCATTGCCTATAAAGTGGTTCGGTGGTGTAGTGATATGTCTCTCGCTTCACATTTGAGTGAGTCCGGGTTCGAATCCCAGACGTACAAAATGATAATCGTGTCGTACTGTCAAACAAAGTTGATCAAATAAATGCAAACAAGTACGTTAATTAAAAAATAAAGTCAGCGTTTTCGTGAATGTTGAGAATAATCTCCGAGGTTCGAGAAATGTTAACAGCAACAAGGACTTTATCTCTATTCTACTAAGTAGCAATAAAATACGGCTGATCCTTTCTCTATACAGAAACAAATTAGGTCACGAGAGTGTAAATTTGTTTACCTGTGTAAAAAAGAATGCAAACGAGTTGTGATTTCGCCGCATTAAAATTAGCCTTTTATTAATTATAAATACATGTATCTTTGTAGCTTTTATAGATTAATCTCTTGGAATATACAATTATTATAACAAAATAAGTTTCCTATTTCACCACTTTATCACTAAAATTACGGAGCTTTAATATGGCGTAGCGAAATCCGTTAAACAGCCCCGCTTCGCTTTAGAAATCTACATTCATCAGCCACTCGGTGTTTAAATTGCGAAAAACGGCACATTGATGTGGTCTTAGTATTATTCTATTCTTAAATCAAATGTATAATTCAGCTGCACAGGTTTGATGCGTGTTTCTGATCTGATAATGTTTTGACGACGTTCGTGATTAATTGGGGAATAATGTTCGGGGCATTTCTTTGATCTCAGCAATAATCGTAGTAGAATATGCTACAAACAGTGATCCCATGTAGTGTAAATATTCAACACTGGGTGTAGTTCAATCGTTATTTCCATATCCTGGTTAGCTTGAGATAAAAGATACCGCAGAGTCCGACACTTCTACTTCATACTTGGATATTCTCCTTGAAAAAGACACTAATGGTAATCTAACAACCAAGCTATATGATAAACGTGATGACTTTCTAACTTTTCTATTGTCAACTTCCCTTACTTATGCAGCAATATACCTTCATCACCTGCATACGGAGTATATATATCTCACTTGATTCGATACGCAAGAGCATGCTCTACGTATGAACAATTTCTTAAGGGGGACCTATGTCGTTCTACGTCAAAGCAGCGTCATGTTTAGTCACAATGGCGACGTTTGCTTTTACCTGTTGACTTTTGCAACTGTAATATAGGCATAACATTGTTAATAATCAATAAGGTACACAATTTACAAAAAGATAATTTATTCATCATTAATAACAGTTTTATTTGATTTATGGAGTTTGTTAATATTAGAATTTTTTTCCTTTGGTTGATATTACATATCAATTTCAGTTGTGAATAAATACCTCGATGATATGCAGATATATAAGTGCAAAAAGATAAGATAAAATTCAGCAAAGAAAGCAGTTTAAATCAAGGAAAGATGTTTAATTTTATGTTTACCATTAATTGTATTTTCGGGAAAAAATTAAGAAATGAACTTGCACCTAAAATTGCGTATTGATTCACAGTACATATAGATTTAATTGTATAAAGTCATTCCTAGGTTCTAATAGATGTTGGTTGTGACGGGAAAATGGGGGAGAGGAGAAACAGAATGATTGGAATGAAGAAGAAAATAATTACTCTGTTTAAGGTAGGATTCTTCTCTGGTTTCTGACTAGATGAGACATTAAAAGTACATTTGCTGATATGTCTTATACATTGAGGTGTAAGGAATTTAAAAGACCATATTTTTCTTTCCTCATCAGAATTGTACAACTTTAAATAGAAATGGTAAACTGCGTTTGAAAACTAGCAGGGACTATATTTTTGGCGGAATGGTGGCGTATGAAAATATCTTCTTTTCTGCCTCTCAAAATTATAATAAACAAGGAATTTAGTTATAATTTTTACACAATCGAAGACTTGGAGAAATTTTCAAATGTATGTTAGATTAATAATGAGGGACTAAACTTTCAAAATTTATCAAATGAATATGATTTTTCAGACAAACTAGAACTTTATTAGCTTTTAACGCTACCTATCAAAGTGCAAATTTGAGCCAAAAATCCATAAAAAGTATTTTTTCTCTCTTAGTAAACGATCAAAATTTTTTGTTTTTGTATCATTTTGTACATTTATAATACTACTTTATTATATGTGAAAATAAGAAAAAGTTAAATATAGGAAGCATATGAAAATAACTAATATATCCTAAAAACTTAAGAAAAACAGAGAAAATTCGGATTAGCCAATATCCAGTTAAGTTAAACTATTTATGTAATTTTGGTAATATCATGCTTTAGACCCGATATAGTAATTGGTTTTAATGCAAAAAGAACAATCATTAAACTTTTGAAATAGAAGTAGGTACAACATGATTGGCAACAGTTGTTTTTTATTCTTAATGTCAATGAAAAAGATAATGACCTTGACCTGACCTTGTCTCTCATATAAAACGGTCGAAATTAATTTCACTGATACTATCACTTACTGATATTGTCTTCTTGATTCTGTGAAAATTTCATAAATTTTTAAATGAGAAGAATCCTACCTTAAATTGTTTCTAATGAAAACAAAATACCCGTTTTTCGCAAAATATATTTTTATATTCGGATGTTTGTCAGTCCTTACTTACTTTTTTTAGTGCAGAAAGGTCAATATTTATGACACAAGAGTACGAAAATAAAAGAAAATGTCATATTTCTCATTTATTTTATCATAAAGGTATACTTTGTTCTTTGTTAAAATAAAGAGATGAATCATTTCTTTCAAAAAATATGAATTACAATATTTTCACACAAAGACTTTTTAAGATATAACCTGTTATGCATGTCGGAATTGTTAAAAATGCAAGAAAAACGTAGTTATACTTACATTGTGCTCCATTATAATTTTTCATGCGAGATGAAATACATTGAATTGCCTTCATTTTAAAGATACAAGTCATGTAAATTAAAAACCTGTTGATTTTGAAAGTTATTTGACATTTTTGGTTCTTTTTAGAGCATATTTGGGGTAGAACAATAATGTCTGAAAATAATCTATTTTTACCATTTCACACTGTTTTTGCACGTGCTCCTGTGTAAAAATAAGCACATAAAGATATTGTTTTTAATACCAAAAAATTAAGAGCAAGTGGTCAGGAGAGAAATGTCAAAGTTTTGAAAATTTCACACAAAGACTTTTCGGACATATAGGTCCCTTAAACGAGGTTAATTATTGACAAGCAAGTTGATGAAACAAAAATACCAACAGTCTCGTTTAAAGTCATCATTTCGTTAGTTCTATGGTCAATACAATGACCTTGTCAGCAAATACAATTTATCATTGAGTCAAATGCTGACTGACGTTTTTCATACCAATTGTTAGTCCATTATTTATACACGGAATTGACGACAGATTTTTCCGTTATTTCCTGATCATGACAAGGGGCACACGGCGGGTGTGTCCGGTCGGCAGGGGATGCTCACTACTCAATGGCACCTGATCCCACCTCTGATGTTTCGGAGGTCCGTGTTTGCTCTGCTCTTATTTTGTATATTGTTTTATGGACGTTGAGATTGAATACTGTTCGTTATCTCCATATCCTTCTTTCATAAAAATTCCCCTTTCAATGAATAAAATGAGAAAATATCATCATCTTCTATTAAAATTTAATTTATTTATATAGAGGAAAATAAAACAAACATGATTTTGTACACGTTTATTTTAATATATTGGCGATTGTTGGTCGTGGCTTAAAGCAACAAAGGGGTGCCAAGCAGGGCGACCCCAAACAATTTCAACAAGCAGCAACAACAAGCATCAACAACAATCAAGCAAAATATTACATGTACATGTAATTAT